TCTTCGCTTGCCTAATTCTTGGGCACGACCTACTTCCACATTGAACAAATGTTACACGACCTATGACTGCTGCACCTCTCCTGCCATACGGTTTATAAGCTGCTTCTCCGCTGATATGCCGTATTCTATTCAAGATTGATGGACTGAACACATCGACTCAAGGTTGAGGGACTGATTACCTCATTCTTCTCCTGTTCTTCAAGTTTCTCCTACGTATGGACTGATGAAGCCACTGTGTGGCGAAACGTTTCCTCTATAAAGATACCCAAGAGTTGCACATGTGTCTAATTTATCAACATGTCGGTTCTCTGAACCATTCATCTACAAAACTAGAAAGTGCCACAACCTGTGGACATGTCTGGTGCTAACAAGAAAGTGCCACAACCTGTGGACATGTCTGGTGCTAAAAAGAAAGTACCACAACCTTTGGACATGTCTGGTGCTAACAAGAAAGTGCCACAACCTGTGGACATGTCTGGTGCTAACAAGTAAGTGCCACAACTTACTGACGTGTCTGGCTGTAGCACATTATAAACTAAGTGAAAATATACAGTATGATTTTCTGTAACCTTGAATTCGTGAAGTACTAACACTTAGATTGTACTAATGCATTATGGTGTCATGGCCAGCAAGTTGTATTGCATGTAACTTTTCCTCAGCTGGGAAGAGAAAGCACTGCTTCATGTATCTAATTCACCTGCAGCAGCTGATCCTTCTGCAGGATTTGGCTTCTGGCTGACAGCGGTTTCCCTTCCCACACTTTCCTAATGTCGTACAAATATATCTTGTTTCTCTACACTTAGACATCACAAACTTTGGCAATGGAAAAAAATATAATATATTTTGGTTTCTGTAATAATGGTGAAGTGTGAGGCGAGGCAGAAACACTCCAGCTCTTCGTCAAACCTCAAATTTAAGACACCATACCACGGGCGGGGACAGAACCCGCGATCAGTGAGTCTATCCCCGCCCATGGTTTGGTTTGTTTACAATCGTGTCATTACGATTTCGTGAATCAAATTTAAGGTTAAAGAAACTTTAACTTTCCTTTAAGTTTATTTTAATTAACAAAAGGACTCTTGAGTTAATGTAGTCTGTAAGAGTGAGTTTGGTAAGAGGCACGTATGTTACCTGTCTTATAATGACATGTTAAATTTTCCACTATAATCTACCTTGTCCATAATTACTATCGCATTCGCTTTGTCTGTTTCATAAGGTTAAATCTAGGAGCTTTTAGTTGTATCATGAATTAAGGAAAGATCCTGGACTTCACCTTACGAAGCAGACAAAGCAAATGTGACAGTAATTATGAACAAGGTAGATTATAGTGGAAAAATGAGCATGTTATTAGGAGACGGTGGAACTTGGGTGCCAATTAGTCTTTACCAATGTCATGAGGGCCTCCATGGCACTCAAAAACTGTGACTCCCTTCTCCATTTTTTTTTATTTCAAACTTCTTCAGTCACTTTGCAATGTAACTGTTCCGTCTCACTTTAAAACTCAATGTTTTTCAGAGTCCACATTGCTCTTCACCATCTGTGTAATATTCCACGGTGTAATGTGGTCACCCTAACTCACCCTGTACACAGCTCCACCACATGCAGCTCCTGTCCTGCAGATAAAGTTAAAATGTCCTGTAATTGCTGTCCCGTGCTGTCCTGCAGCTGCTGTCTCGCGTTGGTACTCAGGTGAAAATACTGCACAGGATGGAGGCCAGAATCCTCACGGACACTGCAGTGAGATCGCTGCTAAGAGAGGTGTTGAGGGAAGCTGAACTCCGCCCGGGACCCTGCTTCACAGGCTGTTGGATCTGACCTGTTTTAAGAAGATATATGTAAGTAACTGAGGGACTAAACTGGTGATACCAAGAATGAAAAGGCACAATACCGTGACTGGAACAGTACACAGCTAACCTGCACATCTTACCTCTTGTTAGTAGTATTTTGTGTAATTAATATAACCTTCAGAATGAGTTGCTGCTTGTGAAGGGCTCTCGGTCAGAGGAATTAGAGCTACCCTCCTCTTCCTGGGTTGGAAATTAAGTAGTTCCTATTTACAGTTCGCATAATGACCACAAGTAGCTTCCCATTTTCCAACAAATACAAAAACATAATTTCTATCCCAGCTCTGGAAAGAATCCTCTATTACGTCACCGCCTGGCCATCATGGAATGACGTGTCACGTGTTACTTTTTTTAAACCTCAGTAAACTAATATTATTTACAGTTTCTAGAGGGAAGTGTGATTAAACTGAGCAACTTGTATGACGACAACCAGTATCCAGTAGCACTAGTGGAGGACAGAAGCCGCTGTCTCCTGTGTCAGTAACGGAGAAGAGTAGCAATTGTTGCCCCTCTCAGAAGCAACTGTTACCTGTAGCACTAATAAAGCAACTGTCACCCATAGCACTAGTGCAGGTCTTAAAGAACTGCTTGCTGTGGTACTAGCGAAAGCAGAATGAAGCTCTCCTGTGATGCTAGTGAAGGTCATAGAATTACGCCTTATGTGGCACTAGTAGAGGCCTGAAGTAGCTGTCGTTTGGGGCACTAGGGAAAACCAGAAGCAGCTGTCTCCAATGGCACTAGTAAAGGCCCAAATTAGCTTTCTTATGGGGTACAAATAGAGGCCAAAAACAGCTGTTTCTTAGGAACTAGAGAAACTAGGGACAAATTTCCTCCAGTGGGACTATTGGAAACCAGAAGCAGCCGTCATGTGTGACACTAGTGGATACCAGAAACACCTGTTTCTTTTATCACTAGTGGAGGCTTGAGCAAGCTATGTCCAGTGGCACTACTGGAGGCCATACCCATCCTTCTCCAGCAGCCCTAGTAGCCTAGATGTAATTGTCTCCAGAGGCCTTAGTTGAGGCCAGGACGAACTGTGTGCAGTGACACTAATGGAGGCCAAAAGCAGCTGTCTCCAGTAGCAGCAGTGGAGACCAGAAAAGCTGTCTAGTAGCACTAGTAGTGTAAACAGACATCTATATTCATTAGCAGTAGTGAAAGCCAGGATAAGGTATCTCTAGTGACGCTAGTGGAAGCCAATATGCCTAGCCATGCTAGGTGTTCTAGTGGTACACTCTGTAATCATTATTTAACTACATGTAAACCACACAATAACCAAATTCTGTAAATTTAACATTGTAATCCTTATAGAGAATAAACTTTGAATTTGAATAACAGTTCTCTCCTGTGGTAATGGTAGAGGCTAGAAGCTGCTGTTTACAGTGACAGTGGAGGCCAGAAGCAGCTGTCTCGAGTGGCTCTAGTGGAAGTAAGAAGCAACCGTCGCCTGTTGCACTAATAGAGTACAGAAACAGCTGTCCTCTGTTGCATTAATAGAGTACAGAAACGGCTGTCTCCTGTCCTAATGGAGGGCAGAAATAGCTCTCTCCTGTTGCCCTAGCGAAGTAGAGAAGCAGCTGTCTCCTGTGGCACTAGTAAAAGCCACAAGCATCTGTCTCCAGTGACACTAATGGTGACCAGAAACAACCATCTCCTACGGCATGAGTGGAGGACAGAAGATTATCTCCTGTGGCAATAATGCAGAACAGAAATAGATCTCTGCTGAGGCACCAGCAAAAGCCAAAAGAAGCAGTCTTCTATGGCACTAGTGGAGGTCAGACGCAGCAGCCACCTTTGACACTAGAGGAGGACTGAAGCATTTATCTCCTGTTGTCCAAGGGGAGACAATAAACAGATGTCCTCTCTGGCACTAGAGGACGTCAGAAGCAACTTTTTCATGAGGTATTATTATGGGGAGCGCTAAACCCGCATAGATTATACAGTGCCTGTGGGGGGAGGGATGATGCAAGGCATGCAGGCATTCAAGGAACTGGAACACAGATCCAATTCTCCAAATCAAGAATCCCTCACCCTTGAGGGGCTCTGAGGCAATAGTGGAGGCCAGAAAAAGTTGTCATCTTTGGGAGTTCTAAATCAACTGCCTCCTCTAGCAGTAATGAAGGCCAGAAACATCTTCCTGCGCCATGCGTTGAGGAAGGAAGACGCTGCTTAATCTGTCGCTAGTAAAGTCCAGAGGCAACTCCCTCCTGTGGCGCTATTGGAGGATAGGCACGGCTGTTACCTCTGGCGTTAGTGAGGTCTTTAAAGAGCTCCCTACTGTGGAACTAGTTGAAGCCAGAAGCAGCTGTCTTCTGTGGCACTACTGGAAATCAGAGGCAACAGTTTCGTGTGAAACTATTGTAAATCACAAAAAAGCTGTCTGGTGTTGCACTAGTGAAGATTAGAAGCAACTGATTTCTGTGGCTGTGGCATGCAAAGAGTACGTAACCTTTATTCGGCGCATGTACACACCCTCATTTACAGGCTATCTCCCCCAACCAGCGAACCAGGTTGCTAAGAGTTGATGATGGGGCCCCGTCGTTCAACTAGTGACCAGGTTCTAGCCAACAAGAAGATGGTTTTGGCAATCGCAGAGGTTATGTGGGTACCGCTCTCCTGTCTGCCCTTGTCATTCCCATTCTAGAACTGGTTGAAGCACGGTCTGCTATCTTGTGGCTTCTATTTCTGCTTTGCTTACCGTGGAGTGCACTATACTTATCACTGTACATAGTGTACATATTGCTGTTATAAATTGGTGAAGGATAATATAAGTCTAAACTTTTTTTACTGTGTTTATTTGCTCCCATTACACCCGGGGTAACAGGCCATTTGGAATCCTGGGTTGTAATAGTGGCATTAGCAGAGCCCAAAAGCAGCTGTTTCCAGTTGCAGTGATGAATGCCAGAACCAGTTCTCTATCTTGTGACAATAGTTGAGGGCCAGAACCAACTAATTCCAGTAGTGCTAGTGGAGACCAGAAACATCTGTATCCAGTAGCACTTGTGCAGGCCAGAATCAGTTGTGTCCTGTGGCAGCAGTGAAGGCCAGAAGCAGCTGTCTCCTGTAACAAGGAAACAGCTGCTTCTGGTCTTCACTGCAAGGATTCTTATCCTTTTTACGATTACAGACTCCCAATATATTCTCCATACCCCATTCACCAGACTGTCGAAATCATTACCAACAGGAGTCCTATTAGGTATCAATATGACTTCAAAAGATGTCAATAGCTTGGTGTTACTTTACATATGGATTACTAGCAACAGAGCAGCTGCAAGAAAATCGTAAGGATTATATTATATTTATTTATAGAAAAACGGCAAATCACAAATACAAAAGCTAGCTGTAACTAGTGAGATTTTTGCAACTGCTTTTGTTCAATTAAAGCAAGGAATCGAGGTGTAGTTACTGATAATGTTACTCACATGTCATCTGAAACATCAAGTCAGTTTCTCCACAATGATCTCATTGTAGAGAATCCTGTTTCGCAGAGATAAATAGTTGTGGAGGGAACCCAAACTTTCATTGTTGTCATCACCAAGCTGAGGTAAGCTGGGATCTGCTCACACCAAAACTGCTTGATATCCAGCCCAATTTCGAAAAGACTGGGCTGGATATCAAGCAGTTTTGGGTTTTCTTGAGAATCAATAAAATCATCCTTTACTGAATCGTCACTCATCGTTGATATATCAAACGAGAAAGGTTTTGATGATTCGCACAGATTCCATGCTAAGAAAATTTATACTTAGGACTTCTCAATGGTTCTTGACTTCTTGAAGTATTACTGTAGACTGATTTACCATCTTCACTAAGGAAATCCTCAAGGTTTACAAAGTTCGCCTTGTGGAAAACTTCCTAAACCTTGACTTTTTAAACCTTTGGAGTAAATAAGAAAGTTCTTACTAAAATAGGTAATTTCTTCATTCCGTAAGTAAATATTGATAATATTGATAGTTTACTCTAATCTTACATTTTTTTAAATTTTAAACTGTTCACAGATCGAGTTCTTAACCGCCTTTATATGGTTAAGAACCCCGATACTAATTGATGCCAGAATGAGCTGTCTCCTGATGAAATATGCACACATATTATGCGCTTCACCTTTGCACTTAATATTATATATAATTATATTTGGCAACATGGTTAGGGAGTATGTTATTTCTCTTCTCTTTCTGTTTATGACAATTTCGAGGTTCTCATTGCTACCCTGTTCACTTGCCCGCCACTAGAGAGGCAACACCTCGCTCCTCCCACCATCTGCAGGATCTGTGTTCTTTTGTACTTATATTGACTCATTTTGTTGTATCTTGGTCAGTTGAGACATACATCTTGTTTTTTTTTACAGACCTAAGTTCCAAGAGATATATTTTATATTTTGTTGCTGTGTATTGAGAGAGACTAATTTAATAAAGGTTCAGAGTCTAACTCTTGTTTTAACTTTCTATACACAGTCAGAATTTGGAAGTTGCTAAACTCAGATTCAATAATTTGGGAGTTTTTCACTTTGTTGAAGGTTATAATGATTTCCCCACTTTGTCAGTGTTTTCTTCTCACTCTTCCTTGTTGATCACTGTGATGCTTACTGCTGCTATGTGCATATTGCTCTTTGGTGAACTAATCACTTCCTTGTTCAAGAGGTGTGGCTTTATGCCTCTGATGACTGAGGTTAATTTATTTAAGGGGCTGTCGATTGTGTAAGTCACAGTCTGTGTAAAGTTTCCCCATACACAGTTTCCATATATTAATTATTTTAGTACTATACAGTACTTTGATGTACACAGTAAGGTGTTAGATGGTACTGTTAATTAAGAGACATTAATTAAATATACACTAATATTAATTTATACACTGAGATGCATGTAAGAATCTATGATTCCAGAAAATCTGTTAATTGCATTCTAGTATATAATAATTCCCATAAACATTATTTTTTTAATTAGTAAATTTCTCAGTCATTCTGTAGAAAGTTTCTGTTCTCTGTTCTATTTCTGTTCTTCTGGAAAACTGGAAGAGGGTATATAAATTCATCTTCCAGTATTCCATGATAGATAATTTTGTTTTAAAGATATTGTAACAATTAGAATTTTGATTTTAATTCATAATGTTGGAGACTTTGTGTGTCGAGTACACCATACATGATGGATGTGTATACTTATCTGATTCAGATGATGTTAGGAAATGAAGATATTGCTAATGAGCTCTATTACAGTCAAATTAGTCTAGAATAATATAACATGTAGGGTAACTCTTTACAAGGAACATAGCAACTTACGACAACACAGGAAAAACACTTAAATGTTATCCTGACTCTGACGAAACTGAGTAATGGGAACAAGCTTATTATCTGCCTCACTGCTAATGGAAATGATACTGCGACAGGAGACAGGATCTACTAGATATATACAGGATACCTATAGATTTAATTAGGTCTAAGGGAGGGGCCCTATCATATGTAGTATTTTGCCTATAAGAGAAGCAGGCAATGAATATATGTCTATGGCAATTGATGTAAATTTCTGTCTAGACAGGTGCTGCAGAGAACTTGCGATATTTACTGTCAATTGAAAAAATTTTTATGGCAAACATAATACGAAAGCAAAGGATGGGGTGCATCTCTCTAGGGCAGAGGTGGTAGCATTAGCCAACTCTGTCGAGGGGCCATTGCTGACTTTCTAGACTTTAAAATGATAGACAATAGAGGTATGGGTGCATGTGGGAAATAACTAGATTACAGTATGTTGGATGCCTCAAGGATATGTTCAAAAGACAGAAGAGGAAAGTGAATGACAAATTCCCTAAAGGTTTACTATACTAACAGTAGGAGTATAAAAAAAAAGATAGACGAACTCAGCTTAACTGTATGTGCAGGAAGCATAGATATTTTGCTATAACAGAAACCTGGTTCAACCTGAAAGACAGAGAATTTCCTTCTGAATGCTACATGGAAGGATATATATTGTTCCACACCGACAGACTTAATTGGAAGGATGGCGCAGTAGCAATATATGTCAGAGATAATTTAAACTGAGTTAGCAAAATTTAATTCAATTCAGAGTAAAAATATAAACGTGGAAAATGGAGTTCTATTTGAGGATTGGAGGAAAACACACGAAAACAGAGAAAAAATGAATAGCAATTACCCCCAAACCCTTCTTTTGATGCGCATATATAAAAAGAATAAAATTAGTAGCACAGACTGAATTTGCAAATAAGCGAGAAGCTTAGAGAAGACTTTATGAAAACATTCTATCATAAATATGCGACCCATTCTTGAGTAGTTAATGTTGGTGTTTAACTGTCTCAGATAATAAAACGCAAAGATAACAGTAGGATCGATTATGAGATGAATATTAATTCCTGTGCTACAAAAGAAAACAAAAAAAATACCAGTATTAATGTCACGGGAGGAGAAAGAACTAGACGTCATGTAATCACTACATACACAGTACTACAGCGAATTAGACACCTGTGCAACACTTGGGTATCTTTATTCTGGAAGCGTTTGCTAACTATTAGCTTCTTCAGACCAATACAGAGAAGATTAGTTGAAGATCGGAAGACGTTCAAAGTTATCAGTCCCTCAGCCTGGAGTCGATGAGATCAGTCTATCAATCTTGGTGTGCGTGGAGAAGGGGCTTATATACTGCAGACAGGTAAGGTGAAGTAGTTGTAGGTGGTGTCACTGGGGAAAAATTCACAGGTGGAAGTAGGTCATGCCAATAGTTTAGAAAAGCTTAGAATTTCCTGAATCAAGATCCCAATATGTTGTTGAGTGTTCATATGCTGCGTTGGACTGATCACATCGACTCCAAGCTATGGGACTGATTAATTCAAACTCCTTCCAATCTTTAACCATTCTTCTCAGTAATGGACTGAGGAAGCCACCGGTTGGCGAAACATTTCCCTTGAAGGGTTCTTAAATTAGGCTTATCATCACTTTACTTACATCTGATCTGATAGTTCTCCCACCAGAACGTTAATAATGATAATGAGAAGCATAAACAAAGTCAACACAGATGTGATCTTACCTGGAGTTACCTGGAGAGGGTTTCGGGGGTCAAAGCCCCCGCGGCTGGGTCTGAGACCAGGCCTCACGGTGGATCAGGGTCTGATCAACCAGGCATGCAACAGACATGCAACCAGACATGTAACCAGAACACAGGTTATTGTTTCATATTAGGCACCCAGATGAGCCACAGAGTCATGATGTTGCAATAAACAGAGAACTACATAGACAGTGTTGACATGAAAAACAGGAGATAGTAGTTATTAGACGATATTCACGGTAGTGGTACTACTAAACTATTACTAAGACCTACCCAGACTAACCCTAGCCCTGCCCCTTATTACTGTAGCGTACCCAGACGTACCATCCTGCACGTGCACTGTGACGACGGCAGGTTGAAGGTCAGTAGGACTGCAAGTGTATTCTCCAGTGTCTGTCAGCTCCACCGCTGACAGCATCAACTTGCTCACTGTCTTCCTCGATGACTTCTCTGTCTGTAGGACACAAGGTTACTTATGGTCAGTGAATTATTAACTATTTTAGCTGTATTAACTTCTGATAAGACAGTGATTGAACAAATTATTGTGAATGCGTTTCATCATTTCTGAGAGATTCAAACTTGGTGGAAGACGAATGAGACGTTTGTGCAATATTTTTGAATATGTTGTGAAAGCATTAACCCAGTCAGTGGCTTCTTCAGCCAAACAGAGTAAGGTGATGAGGGTATCAAACGATTTAGATAAAGAAAAATTGGATATCACTTGCAGAGATGGAGTATGGAAGAAGTGAAAGTTTTCAGATATTTGGGTTTATGAAAGATGAGGTTAACCATAGAATTGATGAAGGAAAAAGGTGAGTGGTGCACTGAGGTATCTGTGGAGACAAAAAAAAAACGTTATCTATGGAGGCAAAGAAGGGAATATATGGAAGTTTAGTGGTACCAACACTCTTATATGGGTGTGAAGCTTGGGTTGTGAATGCTGCAGCGAGCAGACGGTTGGATGTGGTGATGTCCTGTCTAAGGGCAATGTGTGGTGTAAATATTATGCAAAGAATTCTGAGTGTGAAAATCTGGAGGAAGTGTGGAGTTACTTAAAGTATTAGAGGGCTGAAGAGGGATTGTTGAGGTGGTTTGGTTATTTAGAGAGAATGGATGAAAGTAGAATGGCATGGAGAGTGTATAAATCTGTAGGGGAAGGAAGGCAGGGTAGGGTCGTCCTCGAAAAAGTTGGAGGAAGGGGGTAAAGGAGGTTTTGTGGGCGAGGGCTTGGACTTCCAGCAAACATGTGTGAGCATGTTAGGACTGTCTGGAGACAAATGGTTTCTGGGACATGACGAGCTGTTGGAGTGTGAGTAGGATAATTCGTGAAAAGATTCAGGGAAACCTGTTAGCCGGACTTGAGTCCTGGAAATGGGAACTACAATGCCTGCACTTTAAATGAAAGGTTTGGGATATTGGCAGTTTGGAAGATGCCTATTAAACTGTCGTATCTGACTACCTCTGAGAAGACAGTGCTTATGAGTGAGGTGAAAGTGTTGAATGATGATGAAAGTATTTTCTTTTTTGGGATTTTCTTTCTTTTTGGGTCACCCTGCCTCGGTGGGAGATGACCGATATGTTGTAGATTATTTATATATATATATATATATATATATATATATATATATATATATATATATATATATATATATATATATATATATATATATATATATATATATATATATATATATATATAATATTTTTTAACGCACTGGCCGATTCCCACAAAGGCAAGGTGGCACTGCGTACCTTGTTCCAAGGTTCGTAGGTTAGAGTCTCCTTTCAGCCAGAGATCAGTGTTTGTGTATATTTCGCCTGCTCTTGCGAATTCCTTGCATTGTTAATATCTCTAGTAAGGCTGATGCATGCAGGGGATGAGATGAAAAGCTGTAAGCCTTCTTCCTGAAAGCTGGCTGCCTTGGATCAAAGTCTAGCACAAGCTGGACTCCAAGGTATTGGTCCAGTGTGGGTAGATTGGTAATGCACTGCGTACCTTGTTCCAAGGTTCGTAGGTTCGAGTCTCCTTTCAGCCAGAGATCAGTGTTTATATATATATATATATATATATATATATATATATATATATATATATATATATATATATATATATGTGTGTGTGTGTGTGTGTGTGTGGTGTGTGTGTGCTGACGCTCCCAAGGACGTCAGCACGGCGGCAAGCTCGAAGGAAAAAACCCATCCTCCGGGCTCCCAGTCCCAAAACCTTTGACCTCCTTGACATTGCGCGGTGAAAAACATCAAACCCTTACAGGATGCGATGTGTTTAAAGTTTGCTATGTCATTTCCACGGGTTCAGCAGGGGGTTTTTAACCTTTTTAAGGCCTCAAAAATTTTAAAACAAAAAACTAAATCCAGCTTTTGGTGAGGTTTTTCAGGAGGCTTGCTGTCTAAAACCACCCAAATTTTCCCAAACTTTGCCGGGTTTTGGCAGTGTCCCAGAGGCCCCATCAAAGACCCCTTTTTTTTGGTGCCTATTGTGTGCCCCCCCGGAAAAAAGGATGGGGGAATCGGGCCCCCAATGCGGTGTGTAACGCCCTTCGACCCTGGTCCCAAGGCTGCAGTAAAAAGGGTTGGGGTCAAGGGGGCTTGAAAATCCTAAAAACCCAACTGGGCTGGGTTTCGGCTTTAAACCCAGGGGCGGTAAAGCAGCTGCCCATGCAGGACGAGTATTTTATCAAAAACATGTTGATAAAAAAGGCCTTTGGTCAAATTGGACTTTAAAAAGGGCCCTTTAAACTCACCAAAAGGGATGCCTCCCCAAAACAGTTTATAGAAACTTCCTTCCCCTTTCCCCCAAAACTATTTTTTTTGGGGAAAAATAAAATTTTGGGGTCATGTTGGGCGGGCAAACAGGGGGGCTCTCTCCCCCCCTTTGTTTTTTTTGGTCATAAAGGGGAAGTCACAGAAGCACCCCCCAGCGAGAAAAATATCTGGTTAAAGGGACGACGGTACCCTAGCGGGCACAACAAAAACCCTCTCCAAAAGGGGGACATCAGAAAAATTTAAAAAAACATCGGGGGAAAGCCTGGGCCTTTTTTAAAACCCCCCAAAATGTGAAATATTTTTCCCCCCAAAAAACAGATGACCCAAGAATATATTTTGCCTTTTTTTCCCGGGAAAGCACGAGCCATTGATCCACCCCTTTTTGGGCCACTCCCCATTGGTGCTCCTTTTGGGGTACTTTGCCTTTAAATTCGACCCCTAAAAAAAAAGTCTCAGCCCCCCCCGGACGATGGAAAGCGGGAAACGAAAGACACTGACACACACACGATGCCTTTTATACTCCCCCAGGTCCCTTTGGCCCAACCCCAAAAACTTACCTATTTCCGAGATCCCTCCCCAGCCTTAAGCACCCCAAAACCATGGAATATGCCCTCTCCCCTTAAAGGGCCCAATGCTAGAGTGTGAATTGAATTTTTCCCCCTTGAAGATGGACAGGGGTTTGGGCAAGCCTCACTTCCGGTCAGGCTTGGGGGGTTGGTTACGCGGATCCCCCCAGTTTTTGCTCAAACCAGCTTTCCTTTTCCTTCCATAGCACCCAAACGATTGATAAAAAAATTCTTCCTGTTACTTAAAGTGACTCAGAAAAGGTTTAGAAAACCCAAAGCTACCCCCATTGCCATCAGGGAATTTGGGAGACTTTTTTGCTGCTCCAGCCCAAAACCCCCTATGCACCATCTCACAGTCAAGGTCCCGAGGGCCCGAAAACTGAAAAGGGGGCTTGCCAACATGCTCGGGCTGCAACATCAAAAAGGAAAAATTGCCTTTTTCCCCGGGCCCTGTGAGCCACTTTCACTTGGGGACTTCCCCCCAAAATTTGCCCCCATATGGCCCAAGGGGAAACGCGACTGGGCCCCTTTAAGACCCCCCCCCTTTTTGCAGTGGCTCTGCCCCTTGCTCCCCCAAATTCCAAGAATATAGTGTATTTGCGGGCCAAGCGCAAGCAGCCAAACGGTCTACATGGTTTTTAAACTGTTTCCCAAAACCAAGGGCTGGCATGAAAGGGACCAATGAGGTCAACAAAATCTTTAAAGGGAAAACCCTTCTACAGAGGATCCCCAAACCGAGGGGGAAAGCCCCGATCACTGGCACCCAAAAATTTTTAAACCCACAAGCCAGCAAATTTGCCCCTTAAACGGGATTCACCATCTACCCTTTGGGAAAAGAATGGCAAGCTCTTAGCAGGGGGATAAAACCTGTGTGCCCATTTGGCGGGAAAACCTATATCCATCACAGTGGGGGGCCCCAAAAGGGAGCTGCTGCCGGGAGGATTTACAAGATAAAACAAGTACAGGGACATTAGCCAACAGTTTTAAATTTTGCCCCCCAGTGGGATCAAAAACCCCCTTGGGGGTTCAGGGGGAAAAAACCACCGTTTCCTTAAAAAATTTGGGGTTTTCCCAGACTCATCGACCCCTTTTCCAGGGCCCCAAGGGCGGGCCAAATTTCCCCCGCTCCATCCCCAGCATACCCATCCAGGGGAAAAATTTGGTTGCGGGCCATTTTTGGCCCACGCCCAGCCTCGGAGGTTTGGGAAAATTTCCCATGATTTTTGTTACAATTGTCCCCATTGTTTTCCCAAAATTTGTTTTCTGAAAATGTGTTCTGTTTTTTAATAAATGTTTACATAGAATATCAAATTTTAGGGTGGGGTTGGGAAAAGAAAAATTCAAACAGCCCGGGGAAACCCTTTTTTTTTCCCCTGAGGTGCTTTATTGGCTTTTCTAAAGGAGGGGGCCCCCTTTCCCAGCTATAGAGGTGGTACTTCCCTATTTTATTTTTTTATATATTTTTATAATATATAATTATATTATATAAATATATATATATTTAAAAATTATAAAATATATATATAAATATATATAATGTGGGCCCCCGAATATGAAAAAAATGGTAAATTTAGCAAAAACCATTTAAAATTAAGTCCCTTTCTAAATTTTTTTCTTATACTTTTAAAAAGATTTTATTTTTTTTTTTAATGTTAATGAAAAAAATCATGTTTTGCTTTAAAAAGAATCTTAGAAAATTTCCCTTTTAACCCTTTAAATTAAAACCCAAAAGCAATTTTTTTTAAACCCTAACCAACAAAATTATTTTAAAAAATACGTTTACAATAATTTAGTACTAACAAAAACAATGAGATATTTTTTTCATTAGGTTCAAAATGATTTTGACAAAAATTTTGGCATAAAAAATTTTTTCACTTGCCCTTTAAAAGGGGCAAATGAACGTTTCCTATTTAAACCAAGATCGAAAATTTCGGGCCTTTTCGGCACGACATATATATTTTTTTTACACACTAAAAATGTGTACCTCTTCAGTACAGGAAAGACTGGGGCTATAACAAAATTTTTTGGGGGCCAGGCACCCCATCAAAAAGGGGACAAAAAGATAAAAAACATCCTGGCCAGGGGAAAAACCCTGGGTAGCCAC